CTCCTCTCCCTCTCCCTCTCCCCTCCCTCTCTCCCTCTCCCCTCTCCCTCTTCCCTCTCCCTCTCCCTCTTCCCTCTCCTCTTCCCTTCCCCTCTCTTTCTTTTTTCTGCCTTGTGCTTTGCCAGTGACTAACACAACACTTTTTCCTGGTTGTGAGGGAGTGCTTTAACTCAGGCACGAGTTGTTTGCACGTCAAGATGTTCGCATTGTGTACACCAGGGGTTTTGTTTGTTGATGCTTGTTCATTTAAATGCCTGTGTATGTCAGTGTGTAAGTGTATTTACGAAGACGAAGATTTGTAGAAGCAGGGCGCGGAATAAACAATCAGCTGATGTGTTTGTGTTGACAGTGAATCAGCTGATGATTTTCCTGTGCTTCGATTTTGAGGCTTGAGACTCGCTATACATACATGCACACATATATACGTATATGCATGAATACAAGCATACATGCCTGCTTGTGTTCATGCATATTTTCATATATACCTACATAGACGTATGAACATGCATGCATGCATACGTACGTACGTACGTACGTACGTACATACATACATACATACATACATACATACATACATACATACATACATACATACATACATACATACATACATACATACATACATACATACACATACACAACACACACACACACACACACACACACACACACACACACACACACACACACACACACACACACACACACACACACACACACACACACACACACACACACACACACATATATATTACACATATATATATATATATATATATTATATATATATATATATATATATATATATATATATATATATATATATATATATATGCACGTGCATACATTTGTACATACATACAAACATACATGTACATAAATACATATATTATATATGTATGTATGCATGTCTTTCAGCTGAACTATGTCTCTTTTTGTCTGTTACTTCTGTTTTCCTTTCTGATAGAGTAGACCAGAAGTTCTACAGAAATCTTTCATTCAGTTTGGTCAGCTCATGCCAACATGGTTCCTTCAGTTTGCACGATGTGTCTTTATTTATTTTCAGTAAATCATTTTGGGATTGTTTCTGTTTACTTTGACATCATCTAGTAAGCAGCGGCATTGCTAAGAGTTATGAGGGTAACCTAGTTTTTTTTTAGGGTTAAGTTGCATGTTGAAAAAGCTACACATGAAAATGATTAATAACACAGCTTTTACTTGACCTCCAACACTCTAGGGAGGAGACTGTGCCCGTGGAAGTCAACAGAAGAAGAGAGAAGAAATGGCTCGAAATGTTCAGTAATTGGGACACGCACATGCTCAAGCGATACAAGAAAGTCAGAGACCGGTGTCGCAAAGGAATACCCTCTGCTCTGCGGGCCAGGGCGTGGCAGCACCTTTGTGGGGCACACAAGTGAGTATTTGTGGATTTTACACAAAGGAAGACTTATACATGCAGAGTAGTCAGGGATGTTCAAGTTTATTTGAGTTTTGGAAGGGTGTCTGTCTGCCTCGAGAAGTTCCCATACCTCCTCTGTTATTATGATTTTATGATGTGGAAGCATCGCTGTAGCCATGTAACTAAATAAAGGGGCACCCTGACTGTAATGTGAGTAGTGGATATGCAAGCCAGATGTTATAATGGCAGGCAGTATCATGAAAATAAGGGACTGACTAAAATCTCACCAAACTCTGTGTTAAAAGGGACTTTTTGAGGCAACTGTCCCACTAGTTTGTTTACTTAGTGTGGATGGCAGACAGATTAAGTATTAATTTTATGTCCTCCTTTGAGTCCAAATGAGAATATACTATATATAGAAAGTTTAGAAGCTGAAAAAGATGAGAAAACAAGTAGAATATATTTTTTTAGGACAGAGTTCAGTGTAATTATTCTTGCTTGTGTAGTTTGTTGGTGGTGAAAATGCAGAGTGAGGAAATGTGAGCATCTCAAGTTACATCAAAATCACAGAGATGAGATAACAAGAAGCGTGTTTTAGTTGCTATGATGATTTCTTGCAAAGGGCGCCATTGATATGCAAATGTAATCTGATGAGAATTTGTGGCGTCACCCTTTTACCCACGGTTATATTTAGAGACAAGTCGTTTGCTCAATGGAGGAAATTTTACTCCAATGTTGAGATACAGCTCGTGTAAAAGATGGTGAAGGCTATTAGGACGTTTATGATGGAAGGGAAGGAAAGAAAGCTTTCAGTAGACAAGAACAAATCATCAATCACTGTCTTTAAGTGAACTTTTTATGATTTTATGAATGAATAGATCATTAGGTACATAGATAAATAGATAGATATGTTGGCAGATGGACAGATGAATAGATGTATATATTGCACAATGTATGTGTATATACCCAATATGATATTAATGATTTAATTATAATTTCTTTTAGCATGATTGTAATCCCAGTAAATTCACAAGACTGCATGTGAGGGTTGCAGGATAGTTGGAAAAAAATATAAAAAGGAAAGCGATAGTAAATGGTAGCAGAAGAACAAGAGAGAGGACAGTAATAATAGAAACGTGACTAAATATAAATTTGGACATGAGAAGGGAAGGAAAATTTGGTGCATGACATATGTATTTCCATATGTATATGAATATATATGTGTGTGTGGGGGGGGGGTATGTGTATGTGTATGTCTATACAAGCTTTTTTATATATATATATATATATATATATATATATATATATATATATATATATATATATATATATATATATATATTTACATACACCACACACGCAGGGAGGCACGCACACATGCATGCATACATACACATACACACATACACACATACACACACACACATACACACATACACACACACACACACACACACACACACACACACACACACACACACACACACCACACACACACACACACACACACACACACACACACACACACACACACACACACACACACATATACATATATACATATACATATATATATATACATATATACATACATACATACATATACATACATACATATACATACATACATACATACATACATACATACATACATACATACATACATACATACATACATACATACATACATACATACATACATACATACATACATACATACATACATACATACATACATTACATACATACATACATACATACATACATACATACATACATACATACATACACAGATACAGCACATACATACATACATACATTAAAGATTAATAACATGAAGAGGAAAATATTTCTGAAAAGTATTTATTTATAGATACTAATAGGAAAACTGAAATCATCTGTTTTCTCTGCGGACGGCCGGGCTCCAAATAGGCCGTCTTAGGTTGCATCATGAGAAGCTTAGGAAACACTGTTCTACAAAATGATTATTCATGGGCTGCCTATTTATTAACATTTTGTAATCTGTGCCTGGCAGACAATTGCAGCGTAATCCGGGCGTGTTCGACCAGCTGGCGGAGGCACCGGCAGATCCTCGGTTAGAGGATGACATCAGAAAAGATCTTCACCGTCAGTTTCCTCTGCACGAGATGTTCCTCCAGAAAGGGGGCCATGGGTGAGTGTTCTGTAGTGGAAGGAGGTGTCTGGCTGGTTCATCTTGCCTTGCTGTAGGAGGAACCGTTAAATAGTGTAGCATTATCTCATATATGTTTCCAGTCTTATTTTCTCTCTTGAACTGATATATGAGGTCTTTTAGTTTTACTGGTCTAGAGTGTGAAAAAGATGTTTATCTCTTACCTGTTTCCAGTCTGTTTTTCTCTCTTGAACTGAAATATGAGGTCTATTAGTTTTAATGGTCTAGAATGTGAAAGAGATGTTTATTTTCTTTTGATATCTTTCAGACAAGAAGATTTGTTCAGAGTCCTGAAGGTTCATGCACAAGTCTCGCCTGATGAATACTGTCAGGCGCATGCCCCTATTGCCGCTGTGCTCCTTATGCAGATGCCTGCGGAACCAGCCTTCTGGTGCTTGAAAGCTATCTGCGACAAATATGTTCCTGGTTATTATGCTCGTGGTCTGGTAAGTTACCTTTTTATCACCTGTTGAAGAGGAAGTTTTTAGGGCATAAAGCTAGTTAATTTTTTTTTTCTTATAATTAAAAAGATAAAAAAAGAGACAATATTGTGGTTGGGTATACTGTTCCTGAGGTCTCATTTATGTGTCTGAAAATATCACGAAGCTTTGGCAAATATAAGTATGTATTTAGTGTTATTGCTGGCATAACTAATATATCCCTCCAGGTCATTGCAAACTGTTAACTTTTCATGTTATTTGTTCCTGGTTATTCTGTTCTTGATATGCCGTCTACCTTCCCTATTCCCCAGTCTCCCTCCTCTCCCGAAAAATAGGAAAAGAAGGAGAGAGAAGTCTACTGATCGTCAAATTCATTAAACATTATTCAAATTCGTCATATCATTTTCAGGAAGCCATTCAGGTTGATGGTGATATCCTGTACAAACTCTTGAAGAAAGCTTCGCCCTCGGCCTATAAACACCTCGTAAGTATTTCTCAACGTGTGCAGACAGCAAGACATTTTTAAGTTGGTTGTTGTTAAGACAACTGTGTTTCATTGCTGTTTAGTTCAGTGTTTAAACTACAGCGTATTAAAATGTTAATCGTTGTTTATGTTGGTACTTCAGTGTTGTGCTATTTAGATGTAAGTTACTGAAATGCAACGTTTTCAAGTAAATGAGTAAATAGGTTATTGAATAATGAATGAGTGAAGTTGAATGAAGGTCAGTAAAGGAGTTTATGAAAGAGTGAGAGAGGAAGAATTAGAAAATTATTCTTATATATGTAGTTGTGGATTTTTATGTATAATCTCATGTACCAGTTTACTTGATATAGCATTTGGTTGTAATATTTCATATGAATGTTTGTACTGATGGTTCTTGGCCAAACCATGTCTGTTGTAATGCCATGTAGAGCAAAGAAAACATTATATCAATTGTCATCAGTACAGAGATTATAGCAACATTTTTTTTTAAACAAATAAATATTTGAATTTCAGAAAAAACACAAAATCGAGCCAGTACTCTACATGACAGAGTGGTTCATGTGCCTCTTTTCACGAACGTTACCCTGGGCATCTGTCCTGCGAGTGTGGGACATGATATTTTGCGAGGGTAGGTAGAGGGATGATGTGCTTATTATATCCATTATCATCACTGCAATACAATGATAGAAATTAACATGAACTTTCATTGCACTTTAATTGTTGTTGTGTTTGCTGCTAGAGTAGCTTGAAACATAGATATTATTGGCATAAAAAAGTCTTGATCAATGAGGTAACCAAATCTAAAATATGAATCTTTTCTTCACCCAAACAGGTGTCAAGGTGTTGTTCAGAGTTGGTTTGGTGCTGCTGAAGTACGGACTGAGACCGCAGGTACTCAAGCGCTGCCCCGGGATGTATGAGACACTCCAGGCTTTGCGCAACATTGAGCATGGTGTTATGGCGGAAGGTTTCCTCTTATTCCAGGTATGGTGATCGGATTTTGTGAGAGTGAAGGTTTGAGAAAAAAGTAGAATAAGGAAGCTTTAAGATTGTGTATGATAAGAAAGGGTACAAGAAATATTGTATTTCTGTTAAAAGCATCAACCTTAACAAATGAGAACTTTATGTAGGCATAGTATATATTATTGGAAGAGATTTAAAGAAAAATAAAAGACTTTTATATCAATATTATTTTAAAGACTGAAATTTGCTTTTACAGATGCAAAGGTTGGACCTGAGTGAAGATGACCTACAGAAGGAACACCAGCGCCAAGTGCAAAAGCGAAGACAGGCCAAAGACGCTGCAACAAATGGCAGATAGAATGCTGCAGAAAGGCTGCCAAGGCCCAGCCCGTTGAGCACTGAGTTCCGCAGTGAACTGAGCTAGCTCACCGACATGACAAAGTGTGATGCCATACAAGATTCCATAATCTGTTTTACATACCCGAAATAAACCTACATCCTTCTTGCGCCATTTCCAGATGTGAAGTCTGCATGTCAGGTTTACTGCTGTGCTCATATGATGCATATGAATGATGTGTAATGTACACCATGCACTAATATTCATTTGTTGCCTATGTTAGTTCCATTAGGCTGGAGATAGTCAGCTTACTAGACAAATAAGACTGTGGGTGCCAGCATCTGGATGAAAGTTTGGAATCCTGTCCGGAGATTTATATTTTTCCTCATATAATTCAGGTAACTGGAGATGAAAGGTGATTAGCACTGTAAGGAGATGCCGAGGCGACTTTAAGGAGAGGTGGCCGAAGCAGATGTTTAATTGGGAAATGGAATGTGTGTATAATGTAATTTGAAATGAGACGGATTCCCTTGTTACGATGCTGATATGTATAAATCTTGCCTTGTGTGTATTGATGAGAGATCTTCCAAGTGAAGCGAGTGTGTTGCTCCGTTCAAGTTGCAAACTATCTGATGAAGTCATCTTTTGTTATCTATTTTTCTGAAAAAGAATGAAATCAAACAGAAGAAAGATCACTTCCAGAAACACTCCTAGGTTTAGTACAAGTTTACCCCTCTCTCTCCACAAAAGAAAGGAAGGGAAAAGAAGGAAAGGAATGACAATTTTTATGGTGTTGATACACCTTTCATGAAGTAGTGATTGTTAATAGTTATTTAGAGAAATATTTTGGTATATTCTTCCTTCTGGCGATGGTTTGATAGCATGCATGGAGCAGAAAATTTAGTAGAGAAACTGCCTCATGTTGGAGCATATGTGGCCCTCAGTTTCTTGGGAACAGATGTGTCATTAGCAAGAATTATATTAGATGATGTTCTTTGTAATAAGGAATTTTGCATATCATCTATTCAGTATTTCATTTGTACAAATGGCCAAAGGAGTTGAAAAAAAATTTAGTTAGAAAGTTTGTTTCTCCCTTTTTCAAAACTTCCCAAAGCAAATGTAAAAGGACTTGTGCCTGTACAGGTGTGCCGTAAAAACCTGGTTCTCCGGCAGTAGTGTAGCATGTGGGAGACGCAGACGGGATCGGCAGTTGTGTGTGTGTTTTGGGTGTGATCAGTGTGTGCCGCAGGTACAGCTGGGGATAAGATTTGATAAAGTTGTAGTTGTGTTTCCTTTGGTGAATGGCCATGGAACTGACCAGTGCCTCTTGCATGTAAGAATGATATATTTAGATGAGATAAATATATATATATATTTTGTGTCATGTGTATAAAATGTACAGACAGATGTTTAAAAGCTTGCACATTAATATTAGATATTAATTTATATTGATAAATTGAAATGCCAAAAAAAAAAAAAAATCCTATATTAACCTAATTGTAAGCTATCACCTTAATGGTAAAAGGAGATATAAAAGTCTTCAGTTGAACTAAACAAGCCCTAATATTGAGAAAAAAACATTGTATATCAGATTATTCAGATTGGAAAATGATTGTACACTTCTGATTAGTTTTATGTAATAGAGTATTGTCATAATTTCCTGTAGGGTTATGAATCTCTCGTATTTATTTGAAGACAATTGTTTTCTGTTGTTATTCCACTTAATTGAAATGGATTATTGGACAATAATTTAATAAAGATAAGAGAAAATAACTGATGTGGATGGGACCCATGAAGCGGAGATTATAAGTGTAACAGACTAACCAAGCAAAATAAAATCTTTTGGAAAAGTAGATAAGTAAATAAGATACCTAATGAAAGGATGTGGCCACAATTTTTTAAAATTTTTATTGCAATATCATTTCAGTTTCCTATATATTTGTGGAATAAGAAAATAGAAATTAACATATTTAGTTTGCTCACTTCCACTGTTTTCTTTCTTTCTGAAAATTGAAAGTCGTGTAAATATTCAGTTTGGAAAATAGATTTCATAGATAACACTATGCCTTTAGCCAAAATAAGAAATACTTGAAGTGCTTAAACATAACAGAGAAGAAAGAGAAATTAGATGAACACAAGTTGCAAACTGTGCATGTCCACTTCCTTCTTTATTTTTGAATTAACACACTGGACATCCCCCCAAAAATACATAACCTCTTTTTTTTTTTAAGTTGTATACATGTAATGTTAGAGAGTAGAGCAGTGCATACATACATGCAAAAAATCTCTCCCAAATTTTCACTTACTTGTCCCACACACACTACACCCATACTCCCACATTCCGCATTGCCCTGGCTTCCCTTATCGATGTACTACATGCAAATATACAAAGCATGGACTTTCGTCTTGCACACACGCAAATGAATAAATTTACTATTTTTTCCCCATTTATTTTAGTTAATTCTGTTTTTTTAAAGGAAGCAAATGGGACCATTTTATCAAACCTTTTTTATATTTATACTTATCCTCCTATAATGGATAAGGCTCCTTTTCCTATTTTGAAATTTTAATTGAATTTTAAACCATTCACAATTTCCATTCCATACCCATCATATCCCCCCAGTATTAGGTGGCAAGATTTTAAAGACCTTTCAATTATGTTGGTGAGTATCAGACCAATGATAAAATGTTGATGGATAGTTTAGGCAACCATTGGTCAATAGACACACTTCACGTCCATTAGAAGTCTCCTTTGGTTCAAAGAAAATGTCCGTATTGGTAAGAAGTACTTTTTTTCTTCAAATAATAATCTTATTTTACAGATAGATGCAAGATTGAAGAATTTGCTATATTACCTCTGTATTCTGAAGTGATGATCAGCTGAAGCATTGTACCATAAGAGTGATGAAAAGTTTGCAGTTGGAAGGATTATAAATGGAACAAATGTCCTTGCAGGTAGCTTGATGTTACAGCAATTGATTTTAAGTATTTAAGGGGTCCCCTGTTTTATGATTCCCCGATAGATGGTATTTAATTTGCTATTACGGGTTTCTCAAGTCAAAGAATCCCTTGTTAACTGAACTTGAGATGACTTGTAGCCATTTCAGTTGCTGTAACTTAGATCAAAGACGAGTGTATAATCCAGCTTTTGCTATTTAATGGAAAATAAACATATTTTTGTTGCACATATCTGACTGCAAATCAAGTCTTACCAGTATTAAACACACGATCTTGAAATGTCACTCAATTGTAATTTGTCTTATTTTGGAAGAAGGAAAAAAATTAATCAAAGTTGAAATCAATAAAGAGCTTTCATATGACTTGTTCTTCATAATCAGAAATACCCTGTTAGTGCACGTGAAGCATTTTTTGTGTGTTTGTCTTTGTGCTGTACATTTCTGCATTGAACCTTTAATCAAAGGAATAGATTGGATTTAACAATATGATGTTCTTGGTTTTTATCAAGAGCACTAAGATTGGGCTACAAAAAATGAAGAAGAATGGAAAAAAATAACAAAGAAAAACTGATCAACAGATTCTAGTACAATGACACAGTGAATTGGATATGGCAAATGGAACTTTCACTGAGTAGAAGAGATAACAGCATTGAAAACCTGTTGGCCTAGTGTCATGTTCACCATTTCAATATTAAGTCTTGTATCTCAATTTATCGTTGTGCTACCATAAAACACTTGAGCCTCCAAAGAGGAAAAAGTGAGAATTATTCTTATTGATATGGGAAGGTGTAGAGAAATTACATTGCAAAATATAGTTAGCTGTGAAAGATTAATACTGAACTAGTTGTCAACAATAAAGTGAAGGGAAGGGCAGGAAAAAACCTTAAATTCCATATACAATTGTTTATAAAATGCAGATCTATAATGCCACCTACAAAATCTTTTAATACTCGGTAAATGATCTCTACATAAGATTTTATTACAAGCTTTATATACTTCTTAATCAAATAAAGGTCTGTTCTGTTAAAAAAAATTGGCTATTCCTGTAGTGGTGCTTTAACCTGCAAAATGGAGTGCAGAAACATTATAGCTTATATAGTTTCTTTGTAGTGTGTGTTCAAAGATGTTTATTTCCTGAAAAAAAAAATGGAGGTTACCAGGGACAATTGAATAAATAAAATGAGGAAGAGGGAAATTAGGTACAAATATTAAATGATAATTCACTTTGTATATAAGGTAAGAAAAACCTATAACCACAGGAATTAAAATTGGTCATCAGTGGCAGGTTCTCAGACTAACAGATCCCTCCATGAAAAATTATGTACTTTATAAATAATTCTTAAAGTTCTGAAGTAAATGAACGGAAATGTCTAAGGAAGCCATATTTCTCATGTCAACTGAGTTGTTCAAAATTATTGACTAATGGTGAGATAGAAGAAAATAATAGCGAGGTGAACTATTGAACACTGAATAGCTAAGATGAATCTTCTGATAAACTGCATTTACTAAATATTAATTTTGAGAAGCCTTTTAATCTCTCTCTCTCTCTCTCTCTCTCTCTCTCTCTCTCTCTCTCTCTCTCTCTCTCTCTCTCTATCTCTCTCTCTCTCTAGATAGTTATATATATGTTATATATATATATATATATATATATCTGATGAGGAAACGAAGAATCACTAGCCAAATATAGTCAAATATTTTCAAACATAATCATGCAGTTGAAATCTGCATTGCATAAAAAATAAAATAAAATAAATATGTGTACTTGTAGTAATCGACAATAAATACAGGAAATGAATACATAATATAAATTTACCATAGCTGTTCGGAACATAAATGATCTATCAAATATCATTGACCTTAATACAGTTATTAAAAACACAATCAAACAACAACCAGTAGATAAATCTCTTCTTATGGTAGACATACAACATTAAATATTTACAACTAATTATGTGCATTGACTCAGGAGAAGCATTCTGTTTATTGAATAAAATAATCAAAATGAACACAAGCTAACCCCCCAAAAAAAAAATAAGAGGGGGATAATAGGCTATAAAACCAACTCATGTAGAACACATTTATTTCTTAAAAACAAACTACCAAAACCAAGAATAGAATAAAATAATAAACTATAAACTATCTCACGTAGAACACACATATTTCTTAAAAACAAACTAACCAAAACCAAGAATAGAATAAAATTATAGGCTATATACCAACACATTTATACACCTTCCCATAAAGAAAACAAAAGAGGACAAACACGTAATTCTATAGAACTCGAGAACAGGTGTTATTTACAGAACACACGCGACTTTTATTTCTTAAAAATATACTAACCAAAATCAAGAAAAGAAAAAATAATAGGCTATAAACCAACTCATTTATAATCCTCCAATAAGAAAAACAAAACACGAAATGCTAAAGAACTAGAGAACAGGTGCTATTTACAGAACAGGCGACCAACCAAATATATGTTAACCAAAATCAAGAATAGAATGAAATAATAAGCTAGAAACCAACTCATTTACACATTCTCCCATAAGAAAGACAACTATTCTAAATTCTAAAGAACTCTCGAGACCAGGTGCTATTTATAGAACACAGACAACGTGTTATTTCAGCTGCAGGATACCTCCAATGTAAAGCTGTCGGCTGGCCAGGAAGGAGGTACTGATGGGTTAAAATATGCCTTCCATGAATTCATTCCCCACGAGGTTTTCTGCTCTCGCAATCTTCCTTGCAACCTCGATATTTTTCTTTGGTTTAGGTGGGTGTGAGTGGCTGAAGAAGTGGTTTATAGCTTGTACAATTACGTTCTCGTTGTGAGCATGGGTGGCGTTAAAACATGGGGACTTTAAGGGCATTTTAGGCAGTTAAGGAGGAAGAGAAATAAAAGCGAAATGTGATGAAGACGATGAAAACTACAGTATATTTTTTTCTGGAAAAAGCACGCACGCTCTCTCTCTCGAAGCCATAATGGACGGGGCAGAAGAGGCTTCTCCGCTACCTCGACGTCCCCGCAGCGCCCGGACGCGTCGGGAGGGACTGAGGTCGGGACGGTGACGTCGTCGAGGCACTGTCGGCGCAGGACGTCGGTGAAGAGGTCGGGGCCGATGCTACAACACGCCGAGGGGTTGTAGGAAGTCGGGATGGCGGACGCGACGGCCTGACAAAGGGGCGATTAGTGTTGCTGGGCGTCTGATTTCCGCAGCGCAGGCGAGGAAGTGGAGGGAGGCCTCTGTTTGGGCGGGACATGTCGGTCACTCGTAAACAAGGGAAGGGAGGAGAGAGGAGAGAGGAGAGAGAGGAGAGGGAGAGGGAGGAGAAAAGGAGAGGGAGGAGAATGAGAGGGAGAGAGGAGAGAGAGAGAGGAGAGAAGAAGAAGAGAGAGGAGAGAGAGAGAGAGGGAGAGGAGAGAGAGAGGAGAGAGAAGAGAGAGAGGGAGAGAGAGAGAGAGAGAGAGACGACGAGAGAGAGAGAGACAGAGAGAAAGAGAGAGGAGAGAGAGAGAGAGAGAGAGAGAGAGAGAGAGGAGAGGAGAGGAGAGAGAGAGAGAGAGAGAGATAGAGAGAGAGAGAGAGAAGAGAGAGAGAAGAGGAGAGAGAGAGAGAGAGGAGAGGAGAGGAGAGGAGAAGGAGAGGGAGGAGAGGAGAGAGAGAGAGAGGAGAGGAGAGAGAGAGAGAGGAAAGAGAGGGAGAGAAAGAAAGAGAAGATTAAGTGAGAGAGAGTTTGAATTATTGTCTATCATAACAACCAGGAATTAAGTTTTATCTACTCGTAACAGAGTTTCGTTGTCAACTATGAGAGTGGGGATGTGAGCTACTCTCTTACTTTTACGTGCAAACACAACGTAATGTGTTTTCTCAAGATTCAAGGTGAGTTTGTTAACGTCATCTAACCATATACTTTCTTGAGTTCTCTGTTGCCAATGGAGAGAAGAGCATAGACATTTTTGCTGCTGAGATAAAGATTACTTTCATCTGTAAATGAACTGTAATTCAAAGTGTTGCTACAGCGAGTAATGTCATTGATATTATAATAAGAATATAAGAGGTCCGAGAATAGAACCTGATGTTGATGAGGACTTGTAATTTTGAGAATGTACGAGTTATTTCCTGTTAGTTATGAAAGATCTGAACCAGTCCATCTGACATCTTTCATTCCATGGTGTTCCAGCTTCTCTAAAAGTATAGAGTGATCCACAGTGTCAAACGCTTTGGATAGATCTAAAAATATCCCTAAAGTGTACATATTTTCATCCATAGATTCCAGAATCTTGGTTGCTCACCTTAGCAAGGCGATTTCAGTCAAATGTCTTTTTTCATGAATCCGAATTAGGAGTCAGTAATGATGTTAAGAATATCACAGAACTCTATAAGTCGATTTATGTCAATTTCTCATTTTTCTAAAGGAAGGAAGACCTGATATTAGACGACAATTCGACGCAAATTTCCTGTCGCCAAATTTGAAAATGAGAACGACTTTCGTTAATTTAAAATCGTCGGGGAATCTGCCGAGACGAAGCTAATTTAATAAATGCACAAGTACTGAGGAGATGAATGGTGCAGAAAGAAATGTACTATCATTGATATGGCGTCCCATCAGAAAGAAAAACGTCAATCAAAGCAACTGAAAAACTATCCAAGAATAAAAATCTATAAATCGAGATTAAAAAGATGTGGAGCATGAAAACTGAAGTGATACCTGTTATAATTGGAACATTAGGATTAAGGACAAAAATCAAAATTCAAAACAAAAAGATAATTGCATGATTTGATAATAAAAGTGACTTGGCTTTTGTGAGAACTGATGTATATTCATGTCATTTTATTAAGGTATTTCCCCTCCCTTTAAGTTCGTGTTATTTAGCATTTTTTTTTTATTTTATGGTTAAGACTCTGAATTTGTGACTCAGGTTCTCTCTCTCTCTCTCTCTCTCTCTCTCTCTCTCTCTCTCTCTCTCTCTCTCTCTCTTCTCTCTCTCTCTCTCTCTCTCTCTCTCTCTCTCTCTCTCTCTCTCTCTCTCTCTCTCTCTCTCTCTCTCTCTCTCTCTCTCTCTCTCTCTCTCTCTCTCTCTCAGGTTCAAAGGGGAGAGGTCAGGATAGTCTTGGGAAAGGGAGATTTTTTTTTTATTTACCACCCTGGCTAACTGCACAGGCGTGGGCAAGCTGTGGTACAGTTGATGCATGGCCAAAGCATTATATAATAGTATTACAGTGTAAATCTAGATCACAAAATTATTACGGTCTAGAATATATTTTAAAAGAAAAGAACAATCAGTAATTTATCTACTCATCTATCAAGCCGGCATATGGCTTGGGCGTGGAAAGGCAATGTAACATTTGATATGTTGTCAT